TTTTACATGAGATATTTTTCAAAGCAAATTAGTTTAAAAAAATGTGGTATCTTTCTTAGTCAGTTTCACAAACCTAATCAGTTGTGAATTAATAAGACCCAGTATTTTCTAGAGAATTCTATGATAAATTTAAGGCCTTCTCCAGGAAAAAAAAATGTAAACTTTGGTATAGTGATTATCAAACTTTTCTATGTAAAAGTTGTACTTGAAAATATTTTAAGACATTTTTTGAAGGCAATTTTTAGATTTAGAAATTCTGACTTAGCAAGTTTGAAGTGAAATTCTAAAATCACTTTAAGAAATAATAGTGTAAGGAATGGATTCTGCCAATTTTTTATAATATACACAAAGAAAGTTTATGAGAGATTAGATTGGATAGATATTTTATAGAGCATTGTACACAATTGCAAATACAAATTTAAAAAGCTAGCATCCATAAAACAGTAAATACATATGTAATTTTGAAGTGGTTGTTTATCTCATTAGTCTTACCTAACGTCAACAGCTGCGCTGAATATTGGAACAAGAAATTAGTCTCCTGAATAGTGGATACAGCTGTTCATATTTGAGATCTTAAAATTTTCTAAAAGTTCTTTTTATATTTTTTACTGGACTGTAAAATGCCATTGTTACCTAAGCAACTTAAGGCAGTAATATTTTTATTTCCATTAATAACAAAATAATTATTTTCCTCTGTTCTAGGGCTCACCAGGAGAACGTGGATCAGCAGGTACTGCTGGCCCAATTGGTTTGCCAGGGCGTCCGGGACCCCAAGGGCCCCCTGGTCCAGCTGGAGAAAAGGGTGCTCCTGTAAGTAATGTTGAGGAGAAAATGCATTAAAATGTGACCTTGCACAAGTTATTGCTTTTTATTCAAAAATATTAGCTCTTCCTACCTGACTGTACTCTTCCTGTATATGTGCCTGGCATATCAAGACACCTCCTTTTATATTTATAATAGAGAAAATTTCAAATTCAATTAAGTGAGGTGACATTTTCCCACACTTTATGAAACCCTAATATCTGTGAGGGAGTTGGATATTATTAAGTAAAAATCTTCTCATTTTGCTCCTTTTTAAAAATAAAATTGGGAGCTTTGATTAAAACTAAACCTTGCTGCTTTTTATTAGAAAAGTGTGAACTTTTCACACCTGTGTTATGATACAACTTCAGTTTCAGTCATTTCTATAATCCATAAATGAATCCCATAGAAAATGGCTGTATATTTGTAATTTGAGTTTTGATCTCAACTGAGTGAGATGGGAGGACTCTGACCAATTATTCAGGGTATATTTATGGTCTTAAAATTTGATATTTTAGTGATGAAGGACTTAGTGATTGAATTTATGTTTTTTTTAATTTTTCCTTTACTTTTTAATATGCTTTTGATTTAATCATATTTTTTTTGAAAGAGCATTCTCATTCTCAAGATTAAAATACAGCCTAATTCAGTAAATGTAGATGAAGGGTGCTGGCTAAGATCCCTCAAAATATAAGTTTAATGCATTTGTATACCTTTATAAGTCTGGACATCCACAATTCAGTTATAGTTAATCCTCAGCTCTAGCAAATATATTG